TGCATGACTGGGTGTTGGCGTGCATACGCGCATCGCCAACAGTCATCTGTTGCGGGTACTGACCGCTCACGGTACTCTACCGCGTGACTCCTTACATCCCGCGCACTGCCGGTACGCTGCGACCGCGAGATGCGGTCAGCGTGAGTACGACCGACCCTCGTCGGCCGTCCGGCGAATTTCTCCAGCAACTTCAACATGATTCAGCATGAAATAACAGGACATGATCATACATGCTGGCTTTTTACAATATTTATGAATTTTGTTCGAGAAACTTGAATTATATAGGAGGTTGCGCACCTTATGCACGGATTTGGCGTTAGGCCAATATTTCGAATAAACGTGACATTCTCTCGAACAATATTGAAAATTTATCGAATAATACCCCATTTAAGGTCAAACAAAACATGAATTACTCGACCGAACTTGATCACATTAAAAGATAACTCGACATGACATATGACAGCCCGTGGGCGTGCGCGACGTGCGCTGCCGACGGCTTTAAGCCAATTCATGAACCAAACGACTACTTGCATCGACCAGCATGGAGTAACTGAACATAAAATGACTTACAATGATCATTTAAGCATGAATTACTTGAAGGTTGCCGGATAAAAAGGGAGTTTACTCGGTCACGGCCTAAAATGGCCTAAACTGAATGTACCCTGGCCTATTCATGAATTTTTAAGACATGAGCTGAACAATTCATCCTGACATGAACTCATTAACATGAAAAAGAATGGAGGATGAGGTTACCTCCTTAATCGGTCGGCTGAAATCGAAAGATAAGGCGTGTTCTTCTCCACCCGAGCGTGTACGTAGTGTGCTTGTTTTGCGCGTATGATTAGGGCTAATTTGGCTTAGTGTTGCTGATTGTTTGGCTTAGTAAATAAGCTCGCTCTCACCCCAAACATCTTATTTAATATGACGGTAAAAGAGAGTGAAATTGGGGAAATTGCACGGGCAATGGCATAATGCCACTTGTCGTGCGTCTATGGCCCTTGATGCTTAGTCATCAAGCTCTAAGCTTAGTCATCACCTTTATGCCTTCCTAAGCCTCCACATGCTCCATGATATGATGACTTCTCACGTGAAGGAATATGGAAGACCAACTTCTCGGCCATTAGATGGCCTAAGCACGGCTTAGGCGTGCTAATGACATCTTAGGTATTAAGCTTTGGCACTAGGCGTGCAATGATCAAGTGATGGTACAAGACTACACACACTTGCCTTACTTGAGCTTAACTAAGTACATTTAGTACTTAATTAATGAACTTAAGCTCGGTAATTTTACTTATCGAGCAGTTAGACATGAATTAATTATCGGAAAAATTATTCCGAACATGAACATGATATTAAAAAATTAATTCGAGCATTCTTGACTGAAATAAATAGTTCCGAATAATAACGCTGAATAAAATAAATATTCCGGAACCAACATGATATTACATTCATAACATGACGGGGTATTACAACCTACCCCCCTTAAAATATTTCCGTCCTCGGAAATACAAAACGAAACATATATACATGATACATGAAAGATTATACACATCAGAACTGAAAATCAGGAAAACGAGCGCGAATATCAGCCTCCTGCTCCCAAGTAGGTCCGTGGCGATCCCACTGAATATGAACGAGGGGAACATCTCGCTTCCGGAGCCGTCGAATCTGTCGGCCCAACACAGTTATCGGTCGCTCCTCGTAAGATAAGTCTGGATGAATCTGAATATCAGTATGAGGAATGACATGATTGGGGTCGCACACGTACTTGCGCAACATGGATACATGAAAGACATTATGAACGCTGGATAATTCGGGAGGTAAGGCTAATCGATACGCAATCTTGCCCACTCGCTCGAGCACTTCGAACGGGCCAATGAACCGAGGGTGTAACTTCCCTCTCTTCCCGAATCGAATAACTCCGCGAAATGGACTAACTCTGAGAAAAGCTCGCTCGCCAACCTCAAACTGGATATCTCGTCGATGATGATCGGCGGTTGATTTCATCCAGCTCTGTGCTGTCTTAAGTCTCCGCCGGATCAACTCGACCTGCTCTGTTGTCTCCTCGATCAGTTTCGGACCAAGTACTCGACGTTCACCGACGTTGTCCCAATAGAGAGGGGAACGACAGTTACGACCGTAAAGTGCCTTATAAGGAGCCATCTGAATAGCAGAATGATAACTGTTGTTGTACGCAAACTCGGTATACGGCAATAATGACTCCCATTTAGCACCCCTGTCAACAACCAAAGCTCGCAACATATCCTCCAACGTCTGAATAGTCCGCTCTGTCTGTCCGTCAGTCTCCTGATGGTAGGCTGAACCGAATGCTAACTTCGTGCCCATCGCCTTGTGCAAACTCTGCCAGAATCTGCTAGTGAATCTGGGGTCTCTGTCTGACACGATGGTAACAGGCACTCCGTGGAGTCAAACGATCCCACGGGTATATATCTCAGCTAACTTGTCCAAAGACATATTCATCGATACTGGTAAGAAATGGGCAACCTTAGTCAATCTGTCGACCACGACCCAAATAGCATCGTGATGTTCAGACGACCTTGGTAACCCAGTGACGAAATCCATCGAAACCTCCTCCCATTTCCACCGCGGAATCGACAGTGGTCGTAGAAGGCCTATCGGACTCTGATGTTCGGCTTTGACTTGCTGACAGGTTAAACATCTCCTTGCAAAGTCGGCTACGTCCTTCTTTAATCCTCGCCACCAAAATGACCCTTTCAGGTCATGATACATCTTCGTACTTCCTGGATGGGCTAGATATAGTGCGGTATGAGCTTTAGTCAAAATCTCCTTTCTCAACGTTTCGACCTTTGGCACCACAATCCTGCCACGAAAGTCCAAGGCCCCATCAGTGCCTCGGTGAAAACCCTCGACGCCTCCGGCTCGAACATTGGCATTAATTTCACGAACAAACTCATCTGAAGCCTGCTCTCGCCGGATTCTCTCCCTCAGCGTCGGCTGAACCTGCATGGAACTGATACTCCCCGTAATGGCTGTAGGGAGTGCATCAACTGCCTGAATCTGCATCCGGGCGAACTCCTGAATCAACGGGCTCTGCTGAGTAATAATATATGTCAAATCACCCCACACCTTACAGCTTAGGGCGTCAGCAACGACATTTGCCTTCCCCGGATGGTACTGAATAGTGCAATCATAATCCTTGACGAGTTCTAACCAACGGCGCTGTCTCATGTTGAGCTCCTTCTGAGTAAAAATGTACTGCAAGCTCTTATGATCGGTAAAAATCTCACATCGACTGCCGTAACGATAATGTCGCCAAATCTTAAGGGCATGAACAACTGCGGCTAGCTCCAAGTCGTGCGTCGGATAGTTCTGTTCATGTGGCTTTAATTGGCGTGAAGCATAAGAAACAACCTGGCCATCCTTCATGAGTACGCATCCCAAACCCTGTCTCGAAGCATCACTGTAAATGGTGAAACTCCGAGAAGGATCGGGAATAGTCAACACCGGTGCTGAAGTCAATCTCTTCTTGAGCTTCTAAAAGCTCGCCTCACATCGTTTAGTCCATTCGAACCTCACAGACTTCCTCGTCAGCTGGGATAATGGAAGAGCAATCCTAGAAAAGCCCTCAATGAACCTGCGATAATAACCAGCCAAACCGAGAAAACTGCGAACCTCAGACGGACTCTTCGGTGTCGACCAGTTCTGAACAGCTGAAACTTTGGATGGATCGACCTCAATACCTGCCTGAGTAATAACATGGCCAAGAAAAGCTACTCGCTGGAGCCTGAATTTGCATTTGGAGAATTTTGCATATAACTTTTCTCGTCTAAGGGTTTTAAGAACAATCCTCAGATGCTCCTCGTGTTCCTTCTGGCTCTTGGAGTAGATAAGAATATCATCAATAAAAACAATAACAAACTGATCAAGATAAGGATGGAAGATACGGTTCATCAGATACATAAATACTGTAGGGACATTACTGAGGCCGAATGGCATGACAATGAACTCGTAATGGCCGTAACGAATACGGAAAGCGGTCTTGGGAATGTCTGACTCCTTGATTTTCAGCTGATGGTAGCCTGATCGCAAATCAATCTTAGAGAAAACACAAGCTCCCCTCAGCTGATCAAATAAATCGTCAATCCTGGGAAGCGGGTACTTGTTCTTGATCGTCAATCGGTTGAGATCCCGGTAGTCGATACACATGCGCATGGATCCGTCCTTCTTCTTGACAAAAAGAACGGGTGCTCCCCACGGTGACACGCTCGGTCGAATGAAACGGAGTTGTAATAACTCCTGAATCTGCGCCTTTAGCTCCTGCAATTCTTTCGACGCCATACGATAGGGTGCTTTGGAGACTGGCCCGGCTCCTGGAATAAGGTCAATGGAGAACTCTACCTTCCGGTTAGGCGGTCCTCCTGGAAGCTCGTCCGGAAACACGTCCACAAACTCACGAACAATGGGCACGTCGTGAGGTGTTCGCGCCTTCGGAGAATCATCAACAATACTGACGAGATAACCCTGACAGTTGCCTCGTCGCAACATCTTCCTGGCTTTCGCCATGGAAATAACATGAGGCAAGGATCGAGTCTTAGTACTGAATAAAGTGATCTGATCATCTCCCCGAAGAGAAAGGATAATCTCCCGGTCATGACATCGGATATCTGCATGAAAATACGTTAGCCAATCCATGCCGAGTATGAGGTCAAAGTCCCTCATCTCGAGAACATAAGCATCGGTAGGCAATATACGGCCACCGATAGAAAGACTGAGATCTGTGGCTTTGGCTGAAGTCACTATCTTTCGTCCCGAGGCTAAACTCACCTCAAGAGGATCGACAACGGTAATAATATGAACTCCGATGGCATCGAGACATCGTCGTGATATAAATGAATGAGTCGCTCCAGTATCAAACAAGTCAAAGACAGGAATATCATTAAGCGTAAGCATCCCAGACATAGTACCTGGGTGTTGCTCCGCTTCAGCCTGATCAATCTAAACTCTGGCCTACTGTCTACCCCTCTGCTGCTGCTGGGGTGGCCTCTGTGCCTGCTGTCGGGGCTGCTGCTGCTGCGGTGGCTGCTGAGGTTGTTGTGGCTGCGGCTGGAGTTTCTTCGGACATCGACTGGCAAAATGTCCAGGCTCGTGACAGTAATAACAAATATCCTGACCCATGTGACACTCTCCGCGATGAAGTCGTTCGCAAGTGGGGCACTGTGGGATCTGCTGTAGCCTCCGTCGGGTCTTCTTGTCCATCGGGGCGCCTTTCCCCTTCCTATTCTGACTCTTCTGGGTTTGGGCATCAGCTGGTGGCATTGGTGGAGCTGTGGATGACTGGGCAGGGGTAACTGGCTGCAATCGATCATGGTTCGCCTCCCTACGAATGTTGGCATCCACCTCCTGAGCAATGGCAACGGTACGAGCGTATGTCTGGGTCCCGTGACCTACAATATTATGACGGACTCCTGGAAAAAGCCCATCAGTAAAACGCTGTGCTCGCTGTGCCTCAGTACGTACCAGATCAGGAACAAAAGCTCCGAGTCTGGAAAACTCTCTCTCGTACTCATCAACAGAACGAGTACCCTGCCTGAGCGACAGGAACTGCCGCTCCATCTCAGCTCGGTAATACGTGGGATAATACTTCTCTCGGATCATCTCCCTGAATCTGTCCCAGGTGTTGGAACCCATGAGGATCTCGATATGCACAAATCACGGACAAACATTCAACATAAACCTATGCGCAGCGGATCTAAAGGTTTGATGAAGAAAACTTACTGCTTAAAATTTATGTAGATCTGGCTGGCCCGAACAGCTGGCCGCAAATCAAATCTTCTCGGAATCGAACGAACTTGACCAATCCAGAAAGTTGACGTCACGGCAAAGTCAACGGCGTTGACCGATCGGAAAACGGAGGTCTCACGCGCTCTCACGCGCGCGAGTAAGCTCCGGCAGCTGCTCCCTTCCGGCGGCACATGGCGGCGCGTGCGGCGGCGGCTGGTGGCGATCTCGACGGCGATCTCTTCGTCTCGTCGTCCTGGTCGTCGTGGTATGGTCACTTGTTGGTTTTGGTCTCCGGTTTGGATGTATGATAGATCTGATTTTAATCCCATATATACCTTAAGATCTTCTACTGTATTCTCAAACAGCTATCTAGATCTTGTATCAGTGGAGCACAAGAAATAGAACAACTCCTTGGAAGAGAGAGAGAGAGAGCGGGCGGCGTGATTCCCTATTGTATGGGATTGTGTCTTCTCTTCCATGAGCCTAATGCTGTATATATAGAGCTACAGTAGCGACCCTAAGGAGAATAGGATAAGGGCTTCTAATATATTAATACTGTGGAGCAACCCCACAATTAATATATTAATAATATTAAAGTCCACCACAATAATATTATTGCACTCCCCTCACCTATCCCAAATTACATTTGAGACTCCTTATTATAATTATTCGATTTACCTCCCCATGATTAAGATATAATGTCAATTAATTAATTTGATCACTAATAATCAAGAATTAATTAATATATTATATTACCGAAGCTAGCGCTCGCTCATAGCATTCATATTATGCCGGAATAAATCCACCTGCAGGGTTTAGCATAATATTCCTTCATGAACTCACTTCGGGGACATCATCATACTAACGCACATGGTGACCGTAAATATCCTAATAGCACATCGAACACATAATGTCATTACCCAATTCATTAAGTATGTCGACCCGGCTTGGATAAAGAATCAAAGCAACAACAATTATGTGCACATGCCTATTTAATATCTTACGAGTTAAGAGCACGCAATAATTAACTAAGGCCTAGTTCGTTTACGACGATTAGTATAAAACGAACATCCCTCTCTGGGATCCTGTTCAATACATAAATGTACTAGTGCAACTA